ACCGCTCTTTTTTCAAGAACAGCTCTGACAGAACAATGGCTTGCCCAAGGTCATCCAGCAGCTGCGAGTGGAGGAGTGGGGAATCAAACCCGGTTCTCCCAGATTAGAGACCGCACACTTAACCACTACACCAAACTGGCTCTCCATATCTCCGAATTGTGATACAGCTCATCCTTGTTTAATTAACTCTCTTAAATTAATTTTCAAGATGTGGACACTTCCGGACTGTGTTTTGGTTGAGCCATTCACAAAAATTGTTCCTATAATGCACGTCCACTGGGGGCGGGGGGAACCTTGCATAGATTTCAAAGAGTAAAAGGACCCCTCCCTAGGTCAGTGCTTAGGGATATACAACAGCTCAATCAGGAGGGAGTAATAGTAGAGATAATGTTATAACCGTGACAGTGACAGCGCATTTATGGCCCTGTTCATACGAGGGGTTTTGGTCCGGGAGTGAGACAGAACGGGGGCGGAGCAAACAGGCGCGATCCCACGGCAACATCTGGGAATCGTTGCCTGCCCGTCCCCGATCCGTCCGTCCCGCCCAAAAACCCGCACTAAAAAGAACCACCTACCTGGGTGGTTCTTCCGAAGTAGAGCGCCTCAAACCAGCCGTGGGATCGGCGGGCGCGTCCTTGCGCCAGCACATCCCGGCCCCCAGTTCGGCAGCCTCCCCCTTCCTTCCGACTCTTCCTCCCCGGCATCTGATCGTGCCGGGGAGCGATGCGCCGCAGCTTCGGGGATCCATGGGATCCCGCCGCAGCATCGCAACTTTGGTGCGGCTTTTAAAAGCCGCGCTTTTCACTGTGTTTTTCCTGCCGTGTGGCAGGGGCCTATATAGTTCTTGCATAATCAATTTGCTTCATAGACATAAAGCCACACAATCTTTCAAACTGCTATCTTGAAAAGTTAAGTCAGCCTTATTATGTCCTGTTTCAGACTAAGAAGGACTGGTCAGACAAGCTTTTTCTAGTTTGTTTTTTTTTTTAAAAAGCTCTACAATTGGCCCATTTGGTAGAAGCACTACGGTAAAGGTTTCCCTTGCATGAAAGCCAGTCGAATCCGACTCTAGGGATGCAGTGCTCATCTCCGTTTCCAAGCCAAAGAGCCAGCGCTGTCCAAAGACTTTTCCGTGGTCATGTGGCCGGCAAACTGGCTAATATTAGAAGACGTGCAAAAAAACCCAAACCTGCACAGGCAAACTACACGATGCCAGAAAGACCTCGGCAAAAAGTATTTTCTGGGGAGGAGGCCAGTGTTCGCTCTAAGCTGAGTTAGTGTGAGCCAGCTCACAGTTTTTTAAGCCTCCGGCTCACACATTTTTGTCTTAGCTCAGGAAGGGATGGGGCTCCAGAGCAAACTAATTTATTCAGCAGCCAAATCGCTCACTCACAACTTTAATGCCAGGAGCTCACAAAGTAGCATTTTTGCTCACAAGACTCCACGGCTTAGAGGGAAACATTGGAGGAGACCTTAAAGGCACTGATGCTGAGGGGTAAGGGGGAAAGAATAAGGGCGGGGTACCCTCCTGATTTCTCTTGCTTAAATGTGGACAAGCCTCACAAGATGCAGGTAGGTTTCCGGATTCAGAATCCACCCCACTACAGTCACTCCAGGCTGAGGTTTGTACCAGGTCTTTGGCCCGCATCCGCTTGTGCTCAGGGACTCCCTGCTGTGCACCAAACAAGACAACGGGCAGCTTGTTATTTCTTCCCAGCTTGTGGACTTTTTACGAGATCCTGCCAGTCTGGCTGCACTGCTCTTTTTTCCCTGCAGGCCTTCATAAAATGGATTGCCTCATACGCTGCGCCAGAATCCGACCATCCATCTGCTGAGAGGCAGAGTACCTTCTATGTACTGCTTAAAAAGGGTTTTTTAGAAAGTTTAGTTAGTGGCCTTCTCAGCCTACAAGCAGCCAGTATGGATGTGTTCATTTAAAGCCAGGATTCACCAAGCCCTATTCCGAAAACTATGTGCAATAGCGGGGCCAGTATAGCATCATGGCTGATGAATCAGGAAGTCCCCAATTCAGATTTTGCCTTTTCTATGAACTCAGTAGGTGACTTTCAGCACCTAATAGGGATTATAAAACTAACCTGCTTTACAGGGCTGTTGTAAGGAATACAACATGACCCATGAGAATTGTGAGAAGCCCTATGAATACTAGTACAAGGTAAAGGTAAAGGTTCCCTTGCTCGAAAGCCAGTCGAATCCGACTCTAGGGCTGCGGTGCTCATCTCCGTTTCAAAGCCGAAGGGCCAGCGCTGTCCGAAGACGTTTCCGTGGTCATGTGGCCAGCATGACTAAACACCAAGGCACACGGAACGCTGTTCCCTTCCCACTGAAGTGGTACCTATTTATCCACTTGCAATTTCTTGCTTTCGAACTGCTATGTTGGCAGGAGCTGGAACGTGAGCTCACTCCGTCATGCAGCATCTCGGGTCTTGAACTGCTGAACTACTGACCTTCCGCAGCCTGCAGTTCAGCGTCTTAACCACTTGAGCCACCGCAGCTCCTTACTAGTACAAAGAGCTATACAAACGCAAAGGGTAATGGTCGGAATATGTATTAGCTGGGACTTTTTGCCTTTTACGTGCAGAATAGGTGCCTTTGAGGACATAGGGAGTATTTTCCCTTCCCTACTGTGCGACCACAGTGTGTCTAGGGGCTTTGAGGTCTGAGGATATAGCTGATAACAAGGGCTGTGCATCACTGCTTTCCATGTTACAGTTTAAGCACCCAAGAGTGAAGTTGCAAATGACTTAGTTAATGAGCTCTGGGTGCAACCCACAGTGGTTCAGATCAACTGGATATTGGCCATGGACCTTAGCAAGATATGGATGCCATTCCATTGTCTCTATTCAAAACAAACCAACTTTAAAGGACTAATACATTTCTGTTACGGAGCTGTGGGAGATTCTCCAGCTGAATCAATCAAAGTCGCCTCCACCTTCCAGGCAGGTGATTTTGGGGAATGGTTATTCTGATGCTCTTAAGAAGGTGGATTTGCTGTGATTTCTCATGTTTTAAAAACTTTAATAACCCAAAACAGCAACAACTGGGCAACAGGGAAATTTTGGCAGGTGCAGTTTGTCATGCAGAGGTAGAGAAGCCACCTGCTGAAAACGTCTTGTTCTACATGACTATTAATCTTGCTTGCCAATTAGCAGTCCCCAGCCCAATCAGTTATGACATAATGAGGAATCTCTCAAAAGCATAGCTGCTGTGGCTGAACTGACAGGCACCTGATTGCCGGAGTTAAAGGCTAATTAACAAGCAGATGTGTTAACATGCAATATGTAGCACATGTTAGGGTCCGGACATCTTTATCATTGGTTAAATGTCTGACTTAACAGGGTTCTTTTTGTAGCAGGAACTCCTTTGCATATTAGGTGACACACCCCTAATGTAGCCAATCCTCCAAGAGCTTACAGAGCTCTTCTTACAGGGGCTATTGTAAGCTCTTGGAGGATTGGCTACATTAGGGGTGTGTCATCTAATATGCAAAGGAGTTCCTGCTACAAAAAGAGCCCTCACAAGAGTCAGGTTCAGCAACTGGAAGCCCCAAGAATCTATCCTTGGGCGTATCAGTTGGCCCCACAGTTGCCAACACAATAGCAAGAGGGAGTGGTGGGTTGCACAAAGAGAACTTGCCAGGATTCTACTTTGGAGGGTGGCATAGAGTCCATCTCACAACTGCAAACTAGTTACAAACCAGGGGAAAGGTCACGTATCAAAGGAAAGGTCACAAACAGGACAAACAAATGGGACCAGATGCAAAGGAGGCCAGGGCTCCCGAATCTTAACGGTTGTGCAGATAAACAAATTTTGTTAGCTGCACCTTATTACTGCTGAGATGAGCAAAGTTGCTACCAGTAACTCTACAACACAAGCTGTGCAGAATGTACTGTACAATGCGCCAAAATGAATAGTGTAACACCGTGAAAGAAAATGGTTGGGTCAGTCTCTCATGCAAAGCAAATGTGCCCCCAATGGAGAAGGTAAGTACTGCATCTTTAAGGAATAGCAGTGAGGTAAAGGAGAGGAACAGATTGTTGGTGTTTATACCTTTCTTCTTTGTTGAATTTGGGATTGGCGTCACAGATATCCAGGCTTTTACTGAACATTGTTTTACTATGGCGGGAACAAAGTGAGAAAACAGAGTTACTAATGTGGACATTCATAAGAGAGTTGCCTGTTGTAGTCCGTAAGACCCGACCGCCCCAAATTGCCCAACCCCTCTCCAAGAAATGCTCCTAAACAATGACCTTGTTCCTTTAATGAATGCTGTCCTGATTCTGAAAAGTACCAAGACCTCCTTGAATGAAGGGGTCTTTCAATTCATATTTGACCTTATTTTTCACCAAGGAAGTCAGCGGAGGATTTGATAGTAAACTTAATGGTGAAGGATTAAACCGGTAATAGATGGTGGCATGAAGTAAGATAAATTTCATACAAACCATGTAGTCTACAGTACTTCTTGCATATAGCCTCCCAAAACACCAGTTGCTCCACAATGAAATGTAGACCCGTGCTAGAATCATATTTGCCAGCACAGACATGTAACACATGTTGAAATTCAGAAAGGAACATAGAAAACTGCCATTATTATACATGGTCAAAAGAATGCAGATTCCATCTGGCAATTCAAAATGGAACACACCTTGTTCCCACAAGTCCTTTCTCATAATCATAACAAACTAAGAAGCAACATTTCTAGATCTCATTAAAATACCAGACCAGTTGGATTGGGAAGATACCAGTTCCTAAGAATGTATAGTATTCTAAACAAAAATGCAAAATAAAATTAGTTTGTTAATGGAACTAACGTTAGAAAGTTTTCTTCCAGTTTATATTCTACTCACTGCACCCCACCATGTTTAATGTAAGTTTTAGGCCCTAACATGTATGTCTTGGGAGAGGGGATCTGTTGCAGGAAAATGCACCGTGAATATGTCAGCTGCTATGGCATTGATGTATCTTGGGGAAAATGAATGGCGAAGTTTAAATACAATGAACAAGAACGGCTCGATGAATTAAAGCCCTCACAAGAGGAAGAACATAAGGAAATGAAGTTTACAGTAATTAAAACAGAAAATGGAAAAGCAGGATTCTCAATAGAGAGATGTTGGCAAACCAAGTTGATTTCAAGGTTTTCAGTGCACTCATCTGTTTCCATAAATTATTCCCTTGGTTGCAGTGAGCCAAAATAATGTATGAAGACCCAGAGGAAGACGTATGCACTGAAGGAGCTAACCCATACTTTCCCCTCACAGTACACTCAGCCTAGCAGACATAAGTAAGGCCAATCAAAACAGAATTAAGTGCAACAGATATTTGCACACTTTTAAGTGAAATCTATCATACTGCCAGGAAGACAATGATGGGTAGCTAAACATTTCACACTGCAGAAGGCAATTTGGAAATCTAAGTTTTGCTGGTGCACAGCCTCGGGCGTCTGCTACATTTAATAAAGGACAGTTTCTTCAGCGCCATATCAAAGAGAGGATGGCGCTCCTCCCAGAGTTAACTACCCTGTATCATTTTGATTTCCCAGTTCATATTACCCAAACCTACAGACTTCAATACTGGTAATGTTAGCATTATAGGATATCCTGTCCTCAAGTGGGTGCCAGACATTTGCAATGAGGTCATTATTATATATAGTCATTCTGAAAAGAATCAAAAATTCATAGAAGCAGGAGATTGGCACTGAGATTAAAAGCACAAGCCACAAGCAAGAGCCTTCCCTACTGAAGCATCCTTACTAATCTTGTGCAATTAAGTGTGCTTCTTCTGTCTTCCTTCACATCTAACTAAGAGGGTGGGTAGTCATTCTTCTGAACTCCTTTTTCAGTGCTCAAGAAAAGTCTTGGATAACCCAGAAAAGAGCATGGCCATTATGAGTTGAGTGTATGTCTGTACAGCAAACCTGTATTTCCTATGAATAATCATGTTTCCTGCAAATAATCCTAAGAATTGTAGTTTGGTGACAATCAGGGGTGTGCATTCAGCTATTTTGGAGTAAAAAAAATAGCCGAGAAATACCTGATTGGTATTTTTTGGCTATTCTTTCAGCTGGATATAGATCAGAGTATTTTTTTTAGCTATCCAAAATAACAGAGCACCAAAATCCAGCAAATATTCGAAATTTTTTTGGACCACCAGATAGCCAAAGTTAAAGGGAGTTTAAAGGGCTTGCAGTCCCTTTAAATGCCTTCCGGGTGAATGTATGACTTGGATAAAGCATTTAAAGGGACTGCAAGCCCTTTAAATGCCTTAAGAGTTTATTTGCAGTTTGCAGAAGGTATTTAAAGGGACCACAATCACTTTAAACGCCTTTCCCCATTCCATTGAAACCAATGGAGGATGGGGGCACCTTCTTTGGGGACCTATAGAATTGGACTCCCTGCTCCAATCTTTTTGAAACTTGGGGGTTTCTTGAGGAGAAGCACCAGCAGCTATGCTGAAAATTTGGTTCATCTACATCAAAAAAACAGGCCCCCATACTGTTTCCCCATTATACCCAAGGGACCATTGACTATAATGGACCCCATAGGGTATAATGGAGCTGAAAAAATTCAGTATTTCTGAAAAATCCTAAATCAGAATACCATACCAGTATCGGGATTTGGGAATATTGGAAAATACCAGTATTTTTTAGGTTTAATATACCTGAACCCCCCAAATACCATTTTTTTGCATACCCCTAGCGATGGTCCCAATGTCAGAGAGCCTAGCATTCTACATAGAACTACAGTTTCCAGACTCCCCGGGAGAGGGCTTTGCTGTGAAACCCATTTAAATATGTAGCATAGATACATTCCTTAGGCATCATTAGGACAGTATTACAACCTCCCAAAAATGGAGATATGTAAAAGTCTACTCGCATGGGCTGCTTACCATGAAATACTGTTATAAGTCCAGCACGGTTTGTCTCTTAGCAGGGATATTAGGTGTTTTGTTAGATGGAGATACGTAAAAGTCTACTCACATGGGCTGCTTAACATGAAATACTGTTATAAGTCCAGCACAGTTTGCCTCTTAGCAGGGATATTAGGTGTTTTGTTACCGACGGTTTTGACAGATAGCATCCCTGTCTGCACTACCTGCAGACACCTGTGTGTTCATTAACAGTTAATGTGTTTGTCATCTCAGGATGACCCCTTTCAATGTGTATACTCGCGGAATGGTGAATAATTCTCCATCTGTTCTATGGCTGTTCCCTTTCCCTTTCTACAATCACATGTTGTACTTACCCTTTAGCAGCTACTGTCTAGTGTATACACACCACTGATACTTCAGGTGCTATGTCTGGCATTTGCTCTGACTCTTTATAACTTAGGCCCCTGCCACATGGCAGAGGAAAAGCCGCTAAAAGTGCTGCTTTTAAAAGCCACGCCAAAGTTGAGGCGGCGCGGCGGGATCCCACGGATCCCTGGGCCGCGGCACCTTATCTCCCCGGCACGATCAGATGCCGGGGAGAAAACACAGTTCAGACAGGGAGGCTGCCGAACTGCGCATGTCGGAGCATGCAAAGTTCAGCTGGGAGCCGGGAATGCGCCGGTGCAAAGACGTGCCGGCGATCAGACGGCCCGGCTTGCGGCGCCTCAGCGAGATGAACCACCTCGGTAGGTGGTTCAGTTTTAAAGCGCGCCATCGGGGGAAGGGCCGGATTGGAGACGGGAGTACAACGCCAGCCAGATGTTGGCGTGGGATTGCACCCGTTTGCTGCGCTTCCAATCCGGCCCACTCCCGGCCCAAAACGCCTCGTATGAACGGGGCCTTAGACAGCATTCACTGGGCATGCATCTTTGAACAGTGTTTCTGAGAACATTACTTTGGAAAAGTCTCTATCAGGTAATCAGTTCCTACTACAACAGTATTTTTAACACCCAAAGGAAAAAAAAAAAGATCAAACACACTGAGACTGGTGAGAGACACAGTTCTGGAATATTTGCACCTGCTATGCGCTCACAGTCCCAAGGTGAGAAGTGGCAGGAGCTGCATCAGCGGCCTCAGCTTACTAGGCTCAAGTCAAGAATTCCTTTTGAAATCAAGGAATAATATTCTTTTTAATGCAGGGTTTCTTTCACCGTTGGTTACTCCTACTTTGTTCTACCCAGGCATGTGCTTGGTGCAAACAACTGGAACATAACACGACATGCTAATTTAGGACGCCAACTTCAGCTCAGTTGTAGAAACTCCCTACAGAAACTCCCCAAATATTCCAAACCTGGAATATTTCCTGGGTAAGCAAAAGTTTTAGCACACTACGTAAACTATTGGAATTGAACAAGGAGACGAAGAAGTGCCTGGCTACAACACAGTAATAGCTCTCAGCCCCAGCATGCTCACCCTCAAAAAACTGTTATTTATTTTTGGATATCCAATTGCCAAATGTTTCAGAACCTAAAATGACACGGATATTTCCCTGTGTACCCCAGCAACAACAATGGGTTGGAGTAACAGTTTTCACAGTACAAGTTAACTGTTACAGGCTATTAATAAGAGAACTACGAGGAGTTCTGAGAGCCTCTTCTGTTTTTCATCTGAGCTGCTCAGCAACTCAAATGCTAGGAGAGGGATCGCTTCCTGCATAAGGCCTAACAGCTGAAACACAAGCTCATGTTGTAAAACCTAAATAGTTAGAGGGTCAATAAATGGGCACATACAGAGTTAATTAGTACATTTCTAAATTATTTGACGTAAGTGTGCTTTCTATCTGTTAGTATTAAGACTGTAAGCTCCATTCAAAACAACCAGAAGGCTGCACAAAGATTTATGGATCTTTTTTCCCTTTTGGGAACACCATTGTTAACAGTGTGTTATTCATTGCAGTGACATAGCCACCATGTTTCCTCAGTCAACGAGGGAGCTGAAATTACATTTCATATCATCGCAAGTATACTTATGACGTAGAGTGCAACCAAGAGCAATGATATTTTCTATTTAATCACAGTGTCCATCTGGCCAGTAGCGTTTAGCACATGAAGGTCTCCATTAGTGATTTTTTTCCCCTAGCACTTTTTTTGAACTTCTGTCTGAGAAGCAAGGTCATAACCAATGAGGTGAAAGCAAGGAGCACAGATTACTTCTTGTGACGAACGTCTCATTCTTTCAAATGTTCTATGAAATAATGCCCAGAGAACTTGGACAACTGCTGCAAATGGCATGGATTCCCTGCCTGTGGGCTTTGGGGACCACCTACCTCTGTCCATGCTGTGCCATTTCAATCGCTCTGCGAGCTGGAACTGGGGAACCTCCGTCTGTTACACTCAGGACCTCCATTGATTTCCTCTCTGGCCTCCGCTTCCCATGCCTATTCAGCATTGGAGAGTCCACACGCTTTCTGGGAGGGTCTTTATGCAGAGATAACACAGTCAATGGAGCATGGCTACAAACACCTCAGATGCCTCTGGTTGATAATATCAGAAGCCTTCTCACAAAACATTCTAAACTGCAGAGATAGGGGAAATCCTGATGGAGATTAGAAATCTCTCTGTCCTCCCCTCAGCCACATCTGATGCTTAATGCCACCACATTCTAGCCATACCCTGGGTATCTCTTAGCATACAAATAGAGCTCTGGATGATGGCTGAGAAGTAAAAGGAACTTTTCCTGTTTGGGGGCATGGAAGTGCCAAGGAATTTGTGTCAAAAATAATGTCTCTATCATACCCCATTCTTGTTTTGTCTGTTCACCACTCATTAAAATAAAACAATCAGAGGTCATTTCGGGAGGGATCGTGGGGGATCGCCGTTCCCCCGGGTGAGGTACGGTGGCCACTTTAGAGAAGGAGATTTTAAATTATTTCCTTATAACCAATTTCATAGTTATACTCAATGGGTAGGAATGAGCTTTGATGTGTTTTCAAGTCTCATTGCAGTAGAAGTTACCCGAGCAAAGTTTGAAAATAAGAGATATTGTTGTATTACACTTTTGCAGTCCTTTCAGAAGGGGCTATTTATATGTTTTGAGGAACCAATGACTGTAGAATAAGGAAACTTGGCCAGCCATATAGAGGATGCCAGGAACTTTGGTCCAAAGAGAGAAGAAAATACCTCTCTGAGAGAAGGGAATTACAAACATACAAAGAAACAAAAACCAAAATAATGAAAAAGAGATGAGAACAAAAAAATACAGAATAATATCTCTCCATTAGCATATGCTAGAATTTCAAAAGCCAGCAACTACTGCATGGGTCTAATTCTTCCCAGATACTCATGCTTACAAAGAAATAGGAACACGTTTTCTGCATGACATGCATCTTTGAAGGAAATGATTTCTCTAGCAACTACTATTAAACTATTACCGCTTCCCTGACCCTTTCCTTTCATCTCATTGTTCAGGGCCACAGTTAATGGCTAATGATGAGATATTTATCAGAAGCATGATTGCTCTCAATTAAATCTTGCTCTGCATTCCCAGAGATACTGTTAGGAGCAAAGAAGTTGAACTCCACCCACCCACCCACCCTATTTTCCCTGGGAAAGGAATTCGAAAATATGATGACACATCATACAGATATATTCAGCTCACAGATAAAGCTAACACAATCAGGGAGGAGGTTTTTTAGGATATGAAATAACGGCATGGCGTATGCCTGCGATGCCTGCAAGAAGGCGTATACTTGAGGCAGCGTAACATTGCACTTTTATGCAGGTGAAAATTCTACCACTCCTGAAGTTGATGTTTTGATAGCAAAAGGATTGTCTCAGTCTCTTCTGCCAAAACACATAGCCAATGTACTTTAGGAAGTCAGGAGGAGAAGCCGCTTAGGCAAAAGACTCTCCCATCATTTCCACAAGCTTTTAATTTAGATTTAACAAGAAGGTGAAATGGTGTATGCACCACTGGGTTTGCAGGAAACATTTTGTTTCCTCTATTTGTATCTCCCTTTCTTCCTACTCAGCTTGGAACATGTTGGGAGTTGCTGAGAGATATAGGGATCCTGACTGTGGCTCCAATTCAAAGTTCCAAGCACCCTATGACAGAGCTTCAGCTTGTGCACATTTCCCTCTCAGTGCCTGGGGCAGCTCCACGCACACAGAGAGATGTTTAAGCAGAGGTGGGGCCTGTTCCACTGAAGGGAATTTGCAGCTGCAGGAGCTCCTGATGCACACTGGACTTTTTACATACAGAAGGAACTTCTGTATCAAGCTGAATAGTTTTACAGTGCGCTATTTCAAATTATTACGATAGAAAGGAACAACATCAAAGTAAGTGGAATGCCAAGAGTGTACTATCTATTGCTTTAGGTATGTTCCTACTATGTAATATTTGCATCATTTAATGTGTCATGTTACTAGATCTCTTATTGATACCAGATTGCTATGAGTAAAATCTGATTGCATTGTCTATTGGATGCCCCATTCTGTTGATTGTATTGACTTATTCTGTGACATCCACCTTGAGTCCCAGTGAGAAAGATGGACTATAAGCAAACATTTTTTCCTGGATATACCTATTTCATTTCTAGGAGGCAGGTCCTCATCCTCGTGACTGGGATATCTCTCTTTCCGATCAAGGAGGAGAAAATAAATCATTTTCTCTTGGTTTTCTCTGGAAAAACAACAACAACAACAATTCATGAAAACCTTCTAGCATTCTGAAAGAAAATTAAAACTCAGCGCCAAATTCATTTGAGAGTTTAGAGCTGGAGCCAATGTTATTTACATGGTTTTACTTGCATGACTAACTACTCCTTGAAGAATGGATACTCCTTGATAACCGCTCACAAAATTAAATCAGCGGCCTGGCCAGTTATTACCATGGGTAAGCTGGCGGCAACAATGGCTGCACGGGCTCTAATCATTTCCCAAACTGCATTGGAAATAAACATCTTTCCCAAGGACCAAGCCACAAACACCATGGCTGTACAATCTGTACAATTTCAACGGGCCCTGTAACATAAACAATATAACTACGGTATTTACTTGAAAGGAAAACATCTTTGAATGTAAAACAGTCCCCTCAAAGATGTTATACGCCAAAATATATTATTGGTCATAACTGTAACTTGTATGCAAATGTAACACACCCACCCACCCTCCTTTTGATGACATTCCTGTGAAAAAAGCTACTCTTGCATTTCAGTAAATACTAAACACTGGCCCCGTTCACACAGTGAATTTGCCGCGGGAGAGCCACGATGGAATGGCGGAATTTCCGAGCGCGATCACACCACAACATCGAGCAAGTGAAGCACACCCGTGGTCAACCTGTGGCAGGCCGCTGAAAATGCGCGATTAAAAAATACCTCCTCAAAGGTACTAGTAAACGGTTTGCCACGGGCTGCCTCCGGACTCCCTCGGTGTAATCACACTGGTGCGGCTTTTCCCTCCGGCCGTCTTCGTTGCAGTGCACACGCTGAGGGCCGGAACTGTGGGTTGGATCACGTTGTCACGTGTCTAATTGTGCCGCCGCAAATAGCCACGCCTCCCCCCCACGTTTTCTGGCCCGTGTGACCGGGGCCATTGACTAAATGAATAGTGGGCAGCAGGCAGTACCTGGTTATTCTTGCTTTCACTCTGTCTCATTATGGGCTCTGATGTAGGGCTTCTTTCTTAGGAGGGACTATAGCTCATTGACAAAGCAGAGCACATGCTTTCTGTGTACAGATCCCATGTTCTACCATTAATTCAGTTAGGGGTCTCAGGGAAAAGTACTAAGGAAAATCCTGGCTTGAGAGCTTATTCTAATGTGCATATATAGCATGTACATGCTTTCTGTGTACAGATCCCATGTCCTATAATCAATTCAGTTAGAGTTCTCAGAGAAAAGCACTAAGGAAAATCCCGGCTTGGGAGCTTATTCTAATGTGCATATATAGCATGCGGTACAGTCCTGCCTGGACTATACTACTTCAGATTGCGAGTGGGTGAGATCATATATTTAAATAGCTCTTCTGTACCAAAACATTCCCTGCACACAGGAAGCTAGCAAGCAAAAATGACATCTTCCACCCCCACCCCCGATGAACATTTGAATACACAGCCCATTCACCTGTAGTCTGTCTGAAGTGGTAGAACTCAAGAAGGATTGCATAATAAAGCATATCATTATGTAACAGTATTCCTGCCAAGATGGCATCACCATTCAGCAACTTTGGTGAAGTGGTTAAGTGCGTGGACTCTAATCTGGGAGAACCGGGTTTGATTCCCCGCTCCTCCATTTGCACCTGGCTGGATGACCTTGGCCAAGCCGTAGTTCTGATAAGAGCTGTCCTTGAAAAAGAGCAGTTTCTGTCAGAGCTCTCTCAGCCCCACCTACCTCACAGGGTGTCTGTTGTGGGGAGGGGAAGGGAAAGGAGTTTGGAAGCCGCTCTGAGACTCCTTTGGGTAGTGAAGGGCGGGGTAGAAATCTAATCTCCTCCTCCTCCTTCTTTTGGGAGCCAAGTACAAAATCTACTGCCACTGTGGACTGACAGTACTAAGCTACATGGGTTACTGGTTGGACTAGGAGGATCTTTCATGTCTCAGACATAGCGTTGCCAAGTCGATCTTCGCCAGGAGCAGGGGGCTGGCGTCTGGTGCATGCGTGCACACGCGACGTGCGCGACGCTGCCGCATGCATGTCACCCGAAAGTGACGTGACGACGCCAGGCACGCTGGGGGTGGGGCCATGGCCATACAAGGGAAAACCATAGAGTTTTCCCTTGGATGGCCATGGCCCCACCCCCAGCGTGCCCGGCATGGTTGTGTCACTTCCAGGTGCACGTCGGGGAGGAGTTCCCCCCGGGGCCCGATCCGGCGGCACCGGGGAACGGGCCTCTGGGGTGGGGTTTTCCCTGCCCCCCGGGGGGACTTGGGAAGCCAACTCAGACAGCTGGGAAATAATGATCAGTTCACCTTAATATAGGTGACCCAGAGAGAAGAAGACGGCAACTTGGTTTCTATACCCTGCGTTTCCCTACCCTAAGGAGTCTCAAAGTGGCTTATAATTGCCTTCCCTCCCTCTCCCCACAATAGTCACCTTGTGAGGTAGGTGGGGCTGAGAGTTCTGAGAGAACTGTGACTGGGCCAAGGTTTCATGTGGAAGAGTGGGGAATCAAACCCATTTCTCCAGAGTAGAGTCTGCAACTCTAAACCACTATGCCATGCTGGCAACAAATCCATACTCTAAAGTGAGTTTATGCAATACAGAACAGGGCTCCTGCATGTGTAATAGCTGTGCAAAAGAGGGAATTCCAGCAGCTGCAATTTGCTCCAAGGATGCCAAAGTTGCTTCCTTCAGATTGTAACACTGCAAACCTAAGAACTTTTTCCTGGCAGTAAACGCCATGGAATGGGATCCTGAGTAAAACTTTGGATTGCTCTCAAAATTACAGAGGCTCTGCCCTCTGTTTCCTCTGGCATTACGTAACGCGCACCCACAGAACCTATATTACAAAAAGACTTCAGTCTTGCTTTCTCTGCCGATAACAAGTCCTGTAAGAGGTTATTTCTGTCACGCAAGCAACCTAACGAGTGCATGCTGTCTAAAACGTCGGGATCAATGTCCTCCAGGGAAGGGAGAGAGCGAATTTGCACCTTTCGAGGAATTGGTTGTTCGGGTTCGGGCTCATTCTTACCCCCTCTGCAAAATAGGAAGAAAAAAATAACACAACAACATGGCAACATTAACAGCAGTAACGAGGTTGTCAAAAAGCCATCTGTCTTCCCAAGGAGAATGCTTTAGCCAGCTTTCCTCCGTCTTTGGAATTCAACTGGAGACAAAGGACTGTAATACCTTTGCAGATCCAGCCCTGTATAAAGTAATTTCCGTGTGTACCCTATCAAAGGGGCAGCACAAACCCCACAGCAACATAACTAACAGTCTAACAGCTGTGCAATGTTTCAGTGCCATATGCTCGTAGATCGCTTGGCACAGACCCCCTGCTGCAATTACAGGTGTTGCCCCATGAACAGATCAAACTTTGGGCTACAGGCCTACAAAGTACCATTTTCGTTTACTGATTAATTATGTCTTGAAGTGTGAACAGTGAGCAATTAGCACTTCTAAAGCTTCCACTCAAACAGGTGTGGCATATGTAGGCACCTGCACATTTACGACAGATTCTGCATTTTAGGTATTACATGTTCAGCTTAAGAGAAGGCACCTTGACAAGGTCATAGGTGAGCTGTTTCAAAATGGCTCTCACATCAACCATCATTTTTTTAAAAAAAATATGGACTGACTCATCCTTTCAAATATTTTGACAGATATTTTAGTTTTGGATTTCATAATCCACCCTCCTGAATTAAGGACTTTGTTACCTCCTCCTAGTGCCTCCTAGTGGTTTATTGTGTGTGCATGTGTAAGGTAAAGGTAAAGGTTTCCCTTGCTCGAAAGCCAGTCGAATCCGACTCTAGGGTTGCGGTGCTCATCTCCGTTTCAAAGCCGAAGAGCCAGCGCTGTCCGAAGACGTTTCCGTGGTCATGTGGCCGGCATGACTAAACACCAAGGCGCATGGAACGCTGTTACCTTCCCACTGAAGTGGTACCTATTTATCTACTTGCAATTTCTTGCTTTCGAACTGCTAGGTTGGCAGGAGCTGGAACTAGAGACGGGAGCTCACTCCGTCATGCGGCACACTCGGGTCTCGAACTGCTGAACTACCGACCTTCCACAGCCTGCAGTTCAGCGTCTTAACCACTTGAGCCACCGCAGCTCCTGTGTGTGCATGTGAAGTGCCATGAAATCACAGCCGATTTATGGTGACCCTCCAGAATGGAGTTTTCAAGGCAAGTGAGAAGCAGAGGTGGTTTGCCATTGTTTTCCTCTGCAGAGTCTTCCTTGGAGGTCTCCCTTCCAAGTACTGACCCTGCTTAGCTTTTGAGATCTGTTTCATGCCACGTTCACCTCCCTAGTTGTTTATTAATAGTTGTCAAAATCAGTGATTTCTCCAACCCCAGATAACTGGAGAGCTGTTACCTTCTTGGTAGGAAATAACCTTTGTTACGGGATGGAACTGCGGTTCAGGAAAGGATGGGATAGGTACACAGCTGTCAACAACAACAACAACAAGGAAAGAGCCTGCAAGACGGAGCTCTTCCACCTGGCTTTCAACTAGGAGCCAACCCCACTACTACCAACAAGCCGGCCCGTAGTTTTAACATCTGGCCTCCACCACTGTGCTCAGGAAGATCACTGAGTGGCAAACTGTCTGGCGGTATGGTATTCCCAGCATGCCATCTTATGTATCTAATGTATCAGCATTAGCACTTTATGAGACTCTTGTTTTATTGTAATCGAATTTTAAACTGTTTTTATGTGAATGAAGGGTCATTTACGGAACAATTGTGTAAGCCGCCCTGAGCCCACTCGCGGGGAGGGCGGGGTATAAATTAAATTTGTTGTTGTTGTTCAGTCGCACAGTCGAGTCCGACTCTTCGCGACCCCATGGACCAGATCACGCCAGGCCTTCCGGTCTTCCGCTGTCCTCTGAAGTTTGCTCAACTTCAATTAAATTAATAAAAAACAAAAAATAAAAGTTCCAACACTGGAAAGACACTAAAAATGGCATGAGGAGGTGGGATACGCTCTTCTGATGTTCCTGACAGTAACATCCCAGGAATCACCCATGACACTGGCACAACTGCATCCCGTTTTTTGTCTGTTCTATAGGTTCTGTTCTTGTTTTATACATGTCTTGATTATGAACCTCCTTGAGTAAACTTTTAGAAAGGTAGAAACAGATTTCAGTATCAATACACAAATCGCTTCAGGATCACCACCTTGGAAAGGACCGGGAAGGTTATTTGAAAGGCATGTTTTTTCAATAACACAAACTGAGGAAACCTTGAGGTAATTTTTTTACTTTGGCAACAAAGATCTCTCTGACATGTGCACCCAACCATCTCTTTGTTATCATCCCGTTTTATTTATAGTATGGTAGCACTTTAATGCAATGCAAAAACCAAAACCGTATTCTTAAGTACTTGATAATGGACAATTCAAGATGTATATTGTATAAAAATCAAAAATACGCTGCCCTTTTAAAGTGATTAGCTGTCTTTTCAGCATCTGACCTGTAAGAACAATGCATTTTTGAGACCTTTTTCATCTCCCTTATGATGCTCCCACGGGTCATAATAGCATATCGATATTCGCTTCAGCAGATCTCTATGTTATAAGTCCTGCTCATGTTTAAAGAGGCAGACAGTCTACTGAGGGGGACACCCCTTGCCCCCAGATGCTTTTTGCTTCAGCTGCATGAAGAGGAAACCCTGGAATGCTGGAAAGATACCCGGATCTGTGGCGTTTTGTGTTGGATTCTGTTCAGTCCTATCCAAAGCAGGGAGGATAGTGAGCCCCAGACTCTGACAGCATTGTTCAAATAACCAGGGACAAAAGAACGGGGGGTGAGGGGCGGGGCTCTGCAAATCATGGGCTGATTTTGCACTAGAGCTGCCTCGCTGTTGTGCCGCCGTTTGTCCTGGTTCTTTTCGTCAATTTTACACCTGAAGCCGCGCGGCTGATTTTGACCCGGGGCTTCGCCTGATTTCCCCCGCAGTTTCGTGATCCTGTTTTTTGAGGATCAGCGAAACTGCGGAGGAAATCGGGCGAAGCCGTGGGTCAAAATCAGCCGCGAGGCTTCGGGTGTGAAATTGAACAATAGAAACGGTGGCGCAATAACGAGGCAGCTCTAGTGCGAAATCAGCCATGCTGCACTCATGGTTCCCTGGATTGCAGTGTTTATTCAGCAGCTATTTACAGGTCTCTAGCTTCCTGACAAGCATTACACTTAACAGTGGGGAATTTCACATTAAAGCCGTTTTTAAGCTGTTATTGTACCATCTTGGAGTAAACTCGTACAGGGCTGCCATTTCACACAACCTTTTGCCTACCGGTGAGTCGTCTGTGAAGCAGTTTGGCATTTCAGACTGTGCCACTTTGTTTTCCCGCCCTTTTCCGCCTGCACAGATAATCTCTCCTTTTTTTTTTAAACATTCATTTTAGAGTGCTATGGTGTTATAGCGCTATAGCTATCACCAGACCAGAAACCGTTAGGGAACAGTTCCTGAACCGGAATATATTGGCTGTCTGAAATTCCCCAGGGTTTACCATACTTAGGTTAAAAAAAAAAGTTACTTACATATACCATATGTGCTTCTGAATGTGTTCTAGCTAAAAGAAAAGAGAAAACAAAATAAATCAATATTGCAGAAAAGAAGTTGCTGTATTACAGTACTGATCGTTTGTCTTCTGTAACCTAGCTCGTGTCAGAATAGAGAGATGTGCATCTCTGTGCGAGGACTCCAGTCTTTCAATATTCCCATGACAGGGAACTGAGGCAACATTCCTTTGGTACAATTTCCCATCCCATCCCATATGTGCTTGTTGCTCCTCATGTACACCTGTAACTAAACTACACGTCACATATTTCAGATGAAGGAAGATGGTGGACAAAGACAAATGGATACCAAAACCCATCTATGAACTCATGATACCAGATTCTACAACTCATTCATGAAGAGGAAAAAAATATAGTGCCACCCCGCCTCCTTTTTTGTTTATTCTGTTCCGTTTGAACAAGGTGACATGATCAAGGTTTATAAGATTATGCATGGGAAAGAGCAGGTAGAGAAAGAGGTACTTTTCTCCCTTTCTCACAATACAAGAACTCCATGAAACTGCTGAGCGGTCAGGTTAGAACGGATAAAAGGAAGTACTTCTTCACCCAAAGAGTGATTAACACATGGAATTCACTGCCACAGGAAGTGGTGGCGGCTACAAGCATGGACAGCTTCAAGAGAGAATTAGATAAGCATATGGAGCAGAGGTCCATCAGTGGCTATTAGCCACAAGGTATAGATAGGGGCTCTGGGGCAAGTGATGCTCTGTCTTCTTGGTGCTGGGGGGGGTCAACAGTGGGAGGGCTTCTAATGTCCTGGCCCCACTGGTGGACCTCCTGATGGCACCTGGTATTTCTGGCCACTGTGTGATACA